AGTCCCAATGGGCGGGTCTGCTTCTAAGATTGCTGCGTCGGTGATGCTTGGTGGCTGCGAGTCTGATTGGATGCAGGCTGAGCCTCGCCGGGTTGCCGCCGGGTTTAGAGGTAGCCCACAGGAGTTTGCTAGGTCCACCTCGGGTTGTAGATATGTTGATGACGTTTTGGTTGCTAGTGGGGTCTTCTGTCAGAAATGCCTTGGTGACATGTGCGCCATGCTATACAAGCCGCCTCTCACCGTCGGTGCAGAGCCTCCCATCGAGCAAATCTTCGCACAAGGAGTGCACGTCGCTTCCATCCACCATTGGTTGGATCTCGAAGTGACCGTTGGCAGTGACAATCAAATCACGTGTAAATCCAAGAACCATGCAGCGCTTCAGGGGTGCTCAGGTGTGGTTCATCACAGTGTACCTGCATATGTGCAGTGGGATGCTTATACGGCCCAGCGTGTTCGTTGGTGGTTGTCTTCAAGGGTCCACAGGGTTAAACAGACTGACCAAAGCCACGACTTCATCCTGCAGTCGTTGAGGGAGTTGCAGTTGTTCGGTTACCCTCCTAAGAAACTCCTACGTTTGCTAAGTGGTTTCCGACAGTTTCCATTTGTGCGCCAAGAATGGAAATAGTGTTAAGCCCTCGTCTCTCTTACTCTCCCTCGTTGCGTAGCCTTCCGTGTGCCACAAGCCGAGGCGTAGATTCTGGTGCCCGTAGTGTGTGGGTTCTGCCCGGTGCTATTCGCAATGTTTGGTTGGTCATGGTCCCGACCCAGAGGCCCCTCCAACAACGCAAGGCCTCCACTCTGGATGCGAACAGAGAAGCTAGAGGAACAGATTGCGAAACTTACGCAGGAACCCGAGGCACTTTCTGCTGAGCGAGCCGAGGCCAAGAAGCTTGAAGCAATGAAAGTAGCAGCTCGCGCAGCTGCTCAGGAGGAGTTTGAAAAGCAGTGTGGTTCTCTCTCCTTGCCCTTCCAGATGCCAAACAAGAAGGGTAACAAACGCCCTTCAGAGGAGGAACTTCCAGACTGGAATGTTGTAGACATGCCCCCAGTGAAGCGTCGACCCGTTATCAACGCATCGTCCCTGGAAGATGCTTTCAAGGAAGTCGCTTTGAAGGCTCCGTATCCGAAGGGGTTGTACAGTGCCCCAAATCTGACCCGGCAGGTATTGGAGAGATCGGATTTCAAGCTTGCGAAGTGGAAGGCCTTAGCCGGTAAGCTTTTAGACGATGTCCCGCAAGAGAAGGAAGATCTGGTGTTGGCAGTCGTCAGCGCTTTTGCTATGTGAAGGCGATCACCTTGCGAGCAGCATCTGATGCAAGCTTACGATGCTGCGTGCGAGCAAGGGTCATATGGTTTGATGTTGATCTGCAGCGCAGCGGTGTCATTTTTCAGACTGCTTAAACACATGATGGCTTGGGCATCTGTGTTTGGATTGGGTGTGACACTAGGTGTCCTCGTAGCTGCATGTTTGGCGATGCAATCAGACCTGCCTTGCGCAGAGCACACAGATCTGGGATCTACGTGGGAAAAACATGGGCATCGATTTACCAAAGCTCGGCTGATAGGAGAGTGGACCATGGCACATGTCACCAAGATTGCAGATTTGGCAGCTTTCTTGATGGGTGAAGGTGCGGACCTGGTCACTGCGCCCATGTTGTTCAGCCAGTTGTTTCGTTGGTCCAGTTTCGCACGTTTCTTCTGGAGACCTGGAAGAAGATCAGGAAGAGCTTACTAGGCGAGTTAATTCAGTCCGTATGAGTGCTTTGCTAGTGTTGCGGCATTCCTGGCACTGCCACCATCCGTCGGCAAATGAAGCGTAGCTCGCACATGATGTGCGAGGCTGAAAGCCGGAAGATTGTGAAGCGGGCATTTGGATATATGCCAGTTAATTGAGTCCCATCTTGGAGCGTGCGCAAGAGAATGTGCATTTCACGCTACAGGATGTTTCTGATCAAGTTCTGAGCTCCGTCGGAGTTTTATTGCTCGAGTCTCCCGAGGGAAATCCCTTGTGCCCTAATCCTCTCCTGTGATACTCGTAGCAGTGTGATGGGCGAAACGAGTCTTTGAGGAAGCACTGCCTGACGAGGGGACAACACCGAGCCGAAAAAACTCACGGCGATCGTTATTCGAATTACGAGTTCATCTTGCCTTATTAGCTGTACGTGTAGGTTGTAATCGAAACATTCTGTTTTTCTTGGGGTCGTAGGGGTGTGCTGTGATTTTCATACATTTCGTTTCCAACAATCTGGTTGTTGAGACGGCGCTTTGGAGACATCAAGCTTCAGAGTTCTACTTCATTGTTATTGTTGGCCCATGTGTGCGCGAGGGCTTGCCATGCTGTGATTTTGAACTTCCCCCGGAGTTGTCTTTGGAGTTCCAACACTCTCGCTGTGCTGTTGGCAGGGCGAGGCTTGGCAAAGATGCTTTTCATACGTTTGCTCAGCACTTGCTGCCAGTTGCCGTTGTCCTGCAATTGCAGGTGCCGCCCCTTGTGTGTTTTTGCATGGTGAAGTGATCGCATGGCTCTCCAGAACAGGCCACCCTTGCATGCTTTCCGGGTGGTGCTAGTTGTGCTCGGTGTCGTAGCTGCTTAAGTTCGTTGCTTTCATGGAAACGCTTGCAACCCCCCCCAGGAACAGTGATAGCTTTGGCAATGGTTGCAAGTGTTTGGCACGGGTCGTCTCCGCGTGGGGCGGCTACTTGTAGGAGTTGCTTGACTTGGGTCTCGCTCCGCAGACGACGAGGGCCCCCTGTGGATTGAACCGCTCGGCCCCTTGTGTGTAATGAATGGAAGGAGAACACCGTCGTGGTCCGAAGCTGCTCTGTCTTTGCATTGGCACACGCATCCCATGCCTGCGCTGGTTCCTCGTATAAGGATGTAATTAATCGAGTCGTCGCGGTTGCGTCTGTTGGCTGTATGGAAAGTAGGTGGGAGGGTGGACTTGTTGAGGTGGCAGTGTGAGGTCTTGTTGTAGCATTCACTGAAGTAAAAATTACACCGTTCCTGTGTTGGCTGTGCCTCCGGGTGTGCATGAGTTGGTGTTGTTGAAGGTCTGGTTTGCATCCAGTCCAATGTAAGTCTTGGCATGCCCTGCCAATTGTTCCCCCCATTTCGCTAGGATCTGCTGTGTTGCTGGAATGGTGGCGTGGTGTGGGATGTGCCCCGATAGAACTCTGCAAATCTTGTGGGTTTGCTTGTTTCTGAGTGTTGTGACGATGGATCCAGTGATGCTACTACTCTGGTGCTGTAATGTCTGCTCAACGTGGTGTGCGATGGCCTCTCCTCGGGATTCTCCCTCTCTCTTCCCGTAGACCAGTTGCCAATGATCGGATTCATCATGAAAGAGTCCAGGCTCTGTAATAATTTCCTGCACAGGAACCACATCAGTGCACTTCAAGTCTGTACTTCCCCCGCAATCTTCGAGGATGTCCACCAGCTTTTTGCCGTGACTCCCTCGACGTTCCAAGAAAGTAACCGAAGGCTTTTGCCGGAGCTGCCCACCCCAGCTGGGAGGTGTCCCCCTGCCGCCGCCCAGACTCGCGCTGTCTCCTCCTTCGTGTTGTTGGTGGCTGTGGCAATCGCATCGAGATCTACACATCCCGCCCCGGCATCTTCACTTCCCCCAAATTTCGGTGCAGATCCTGAGCAGATCTTAACTCCATCTGCCCATGCCCTGCCTGTGCTGAGTTCCGTCTGGAGTATGTCTTTACCCCCCCACGGTGAGGTACAAGCGTTTGACCTTTGCCGCCAGCCGGGCGCGTCGACGTCGGACAGGCGGTTGTGACATGGCGATCCACACACGTCGGGCTGTTCCATCTTCGCGTGTTCCGAGATGCATGTTTGCCCCGCCGACTTGGTTGATGACCTCTTGTAGTCGTCGTTGTTCAAAGCTTCCCCCACTCTTTCGCCAATCGGAAGGATCGCATATCCCCTCCTGACCCCCGGCACGAACATTGCGTCAAGGTCGACTGAACTGGGGCCTCCACCGATCGCAGGATATCCATTGCTGCGCCCTTGGTGATGGACGATTCCTGGTTTGGGTTCCAGCCTCCTATGGCGAGAGCTGGTCGCCGGCCACTTTCTGTGGGAGCTATCGGGCTGCCAGCTGTGGAGCTCCCCCCACTCCCTTTTTCCAATTTCTCCAGTCGCGCGTGGACTTCTCGGTTGGCCTCTTGTAACTGTTATAAAACATCACCTTGTGCTGTTTGCTTCCCCGTCACTTCGTCGAGGAGGTTCACACTCTGTTGCATCTGCTTGGTCACTTGGCTCTCGGCTTTGTCGATACGTCGGCCAAGCCCCCAGAGCCCTTGCTTGAAGTCTGACATTGCTTCCTTGAGCTCCTCTTTGATAGCTTCACGGCTGACATCAATGGAAAGAGCCATGTTTTCAGGATCTGGAACCTTCCGCTTGGGTGCGGGAGTTCCTTCTCTTGGTCGATCGCCATGCTCGAAATCTGACGCCTTTGCCTGTCATGCTTTCCTGCAGGAAGTTGGCTAGGTCGCCCTGCTGCACAAAGATATCACGATCCCCACTTCGTAAATCTTTATCTCCCAGCATTGACGGTGCGGAGAAGGATCAGCAAGGCTTACGCAATGTATAGAGCCGCCGGTATTGGTCAGGTAGTTGTTCACACAGTCCCCGGCACGCCTCGAAGAGAGATCACCTTGCCGTACTCTCCCCGGCGGACCCGCGCGATGAAGTGCGCCCTCTTGCCATAGGTCTCGGGCAGCAATCCCGGCGGAAGAGGAAAGGAAAGAGTTCATGCCCCCGGGTTGAGAGGCCGGAGGTGGAGGCAGAAGGCGGAGAGAGAAAGAAGAGAGAAAGGGCAGAATCCACCCCGGCCTCTTGAACCACTCACGGCTTCAGCCAAACTGGCTACGTCTCTCTCTGTCTCTCTTTCTCTGTGCCAGTAGAGCGATGCTGAGGCTACATGTTGGATCTGCTAAACCAAGACAGGAAGCGAAAGCTGCAGCAAACAATCACTTTGCAGACAGCCCGCGGAAGAACTCTTCAGAGTGCCAGCTGGTGAAAACAGCTCGTACCTGCTCGGCTGTTCATCCCTCGTCGGGCAGGATTTGCGGACTGTACGCTGACGATCGCCGACGATGGGATGATCGTTTTGCAATGCTACGGGGCTTCTCACAGGATTCATGCCACAGGTACTGGAAGGGTGTCGTGTAACGCTGCTCTCCCAACGGGACTTTACCGATGACGTGGTTACACACGTTACTGCCTGGGTGAAACTCAGACTCAAAACGCTTCAATCCATCTGACTTCCTCATACTCTAAACATCTCGAGAAATCAATAAACAGATACTGCGATGCAATATAGTGTTGGAAGCACACGACAAGCCGTCTGGAACCGTAAAACAAAACATCTACTTTGGCAAGCTCGAATACCTATAAGTAAGGAGGGAACCGACGTGATTTCGCTTGATCTGTCAACCCAGTTTCCGGCCTGCAGAAGGGAGAAGGCGTGTCCCACCACCAGGCCTAAAGCGCAGACCCGAAATGAAGAAAACATGCTCTGGCATTCAAGACTAGTCTAGAGTCTACAGGAGTCTAGCACCAAGGCTTCTGGACACATTACACCAGAAGTCACAGTGCCGCTTTCAGGAAGGTGGAACAGCATTAGCATTTGTCAGAAGCTTCCCGTGGGCTGCCTGTGTGTGACTGGAATCCTGGGTGTTCTCTTTCTCGGTGGTTGGTGGAGGCCGCCGGCTGAGCTCGGACAGGCCAAAAACAAGGAGGGGTCAGAAAGAGAGCAGGGCGCGGTGCCGCACCAAAAACGACAGCGATGCGCATGAGATGAACAACACAATCGACGAACGACCTCTTCAAAATCGTGTTGCAGAGATAGCACTAGGGACATCGATGCTTTTTGTGGCAAATGGCAAAACGACGGGACGTTCAACCAGCCTTGCTGCTGGCCAGCGGGTTTGACACCTCCGCAGCCTCACTTGCAGAGAAATGCTTGCCTTCTTAGCTCGTCCCCTCACATGCCCCATCATGCAGCAAACAAACAGGCGATGATCAATCAATCGCTGTGCAAGCATGGTCTATGAGGTCTGGGAGTCTCGCACAAGACAGCTCCTTGCCGATGGTAGTATCTCAGCAGCAGGAAAAACTCCTTCAACAAAATTCCATGATAGTTTGTGAGTGCTCTTGCACCTGTGGAATTGATCAAAAATCAACGCAGATGTCAGCAGTCCTCGTCGTCATGCGACTCTCCTGCCTGCTTGAAGCCGCATGCTCTCTTGTCCTGCCAAGCACTCGTCACTCTCTTGCCACGCAGGCGCGTCGCCGCTGTGAGATGCCTTTGAGTCTTTTTCTGCTACGAGGTCCATCCGGTTCCATGTGTGGTCGTCCTGTGAAGCAGAGAACGAGAGAGATAGAGAGAGAGAGAGAGAGAGAGAGAAGCTCCATCCAATCTCACACAGCCGCAGCCCACCCGCTCGTATCGCCAGGCACTGCCGCCAGTCATTGCAGCAATCCCCCACTCTGTGATACCGGCCTGGGTGTTTGCAGCTTGTTCCATTGAACACGGATCTTACTGAAGTGCATTTAGCCCAACAGCTATCAATGCTGCCTCGATGGAAGCATAGCTGCCGCACAGCTTTGCAAAGGCCTGGTGGACGAAATCTTCACTGCAGGTTACGGACAACGAGCTCACGACTGCCTTCTCCAACAGCATTGTCCAAATCTCCTTGCCGTGAGGCCGAGCATACATGGCCTCCGACAATCTGGGTGATATGGCACTAGCGGCAAGGGCCAAGGACCGACGAGCCTTGGGCATTCCGTCTGCAAGTCTTGCAATGCCACCGGGGTCTTGCTGACTAGCCGTGCACGGCACGAAATCGTCTATGACGATGACCTCCAGGCCAGGCAGCATGCAGTTCGACGTGCTCCCGAAGCTCAACCTGTGTCCGCATCTGCTCTTGAAGCAGCCACCGTGCTGCACCAAGCACAAGTCTGACTCAAGCATCCCAAAGTTGGCCGGAAAATCAACGGCTCTGCGCATCGGGGAGTAGGTTGGCCAGGCCCCTCCTAAAGACTGCTTGGATGCCTTCCACTCCTTGACTTGAGGATCAAAGAGCCTGATGCTGTACTTTCCATCAGGCTGCACCTGAAAAGATGTCGCTTCTTCACAATTTCTGGCTCTCTGCTGCACGTCGACAGCTCTAGGCCGCTAGGTCCTAGGTGCCGCGCACAGGACTGATGGAAGAGTCCGTTCATGGCACCCTCGTGCTCGGCCAAGGTTGCCATGGCCTCAAAGATGCTACAGCTGCTACATTGCTACATGTAACTACATGGATACTTCGAAGATCCTCGAAGCAGGCTCCCCGCGCGCATGCGTGTGTGTGCACACGCTCATGTGCGCCCTCTGTCGCCCCTCCCGTCGTGACAAGAAGTCTGCAGGCGCTTTCCTCCCAGAATCCCTGCTCGCCATCTGCCCCTAAGCCAGTGACGGCGAGCAGCCAGCAGTCACCCAAAGCACCCTGCAAGATGTCCTGCGCCTGTCTGCAATAATCTTGAGTGTATTGAGATGCAGAGTGTGGAAAGGCACCTCGATCTTGCCCTCAAACAAACGCATGTGCGAATCCTGACTCGAATGACACTGGCAACTGGCGCAGCAATCTCCACAGCTTCTAGCTTGGGCCGTCACTCCGAGGGTTGGATGAGTTGGCTCGGCTCCGTCATTCCTGCAAATGGACAACCGATCACGACACCGACCACAGATCCAGGTGATTTTGACTGGCGCTGTTGCAAGGATATGCCCTTGGTTTTCTACCGAAAACCAGGAGCCGCTTGACCTGGGTCTTCAAGCGCCCTTTGCGAACACCCGGCTTGGTCGCACACTGCACGAAATGCGGAATAGCGCAGAACCAGCCATGCACATGTCGTGGAGTTTTGAGGTCAGGTGTCCGCAGCAACCCATTGGTGCAACATGGGACTTTGCATCCCTTCGTGAGGTGGGGCAGCACCTCTTCCTGCCAGGACGCAAGGATTGGGCTGGCCCGGCCGGTGCAATGGAAGCGATCTGCTTCGTAGCGACATAATGGGCTTCAGATGCTCATGGTCCCTACAGAGCTCGACGTATACAGCAACTTATGCATCCTGCACCTTTTTGTGCGAAATCCTTCTTTTCCCACTAACAGTCACTAGCATATACATAACTATTGCAATGTTCCAGCTTGCACTTTTTGGTGTAAGGTCTTACATATTTCGTGAAAAAATCGCGCCCAGAGTCCCCGGTAGAGGTCGGCCCCGAAGCGAGCGATCGGCGCACAAGTCCGGGCCCGACGACCCGAGCAGGAGCGCAAAACCCAAGACGAGCATCTGCACAGAGGCACCGGCAGCCGGCAACCACACTCTGACTCTTCTCCAAGGCAAGGCCTTCAAGGCATGCCTTAAAGCTTAAGCTCCTTCAGCTTGATATGTTGCCAGAGCCAACCCTCCATAAGCCAACAAGTCGTGTCGTAAACCTGAGGGAACGCACAAGCTTCCGCCACAACGGGTGTTTTAATAGCATAAGAAAGTCTCGCCCTCGGGCAGCTCGAGCTCCTCAGAAAGCGCCTTGCGGCCCGAAGGTTGGAAGAGCAAAAGGGGTTCGCAAGGGCCAAAGCTTCAAGGAGAAATGGGCGCCCGGGTCCAAAAAACGCTCAAGATTTCTTCAGTTGGAGAGGCGTCACCGTTTTCGAGCCCTCGCTCAGCATTAGGAGCTCGCTCTGAAAGCGACAGCATCTGACCCCCAAGCCCCCCAGCTCCTGGAGAAATGCATCGCACGCACCTTAGCAGCATGTGGATCCAAGGCAGCACATGGAGCACATGGGTCATGTAGGCTACCGACCCAAATGGTACTGCCGCCCTGCTTCCCGCTGGACTCATTGGCTGTATCGCCAGAAACCTGAACGAGCATCATGCAGCTTGTGGATCTTGTTGTAGTTTGGATCTCAATCAAAGACTCCATAAACCGTGGTCCCACCTTCCCAAGAGAAGCATCGTTTGGTGGAAAGTCCTGGCCATTTCCCGTAGCAACAACATGGTGCAGCGATGGAGCTGGCCGCACAAGATAACTAAAGTGCCTGGTCCACGAAGAAAGAGGAGCAGCAGCCACCAAGCAACCAATAGGCTCGCCAGGCATAGATGTGAACACAGGGGGGTAAGTAAATCCTGCGACCATGCACCCAGTGCAATTGCAAACAGCAGCTAGATTTGCAAAACTGTGCTCTTGCACTTGCCTCAGGGCGTGAAGCAGCAAAACAAAAGGACCAAACACGAGTTTGTAGAACAAGCAGGCCTGCAGGGCAAGAGGGCAAGGAATCTTGACTCTAGCCTGTGCAAGACCTTTGGGGTTGGCACCTGGCCGGTGTACAGGGCAGGCCAGCACCTTGTCACGGCTTGCTCAACGATGATTCTGCAAGGCTAGTTTGTGATGCAGATGTCCTACACAGTTGACTTCTGGACCAACGGCCTTCCTGCCACGTGAGGTGCACTGCACTGTAGAGGGCTCTCGGGCGAAGGCCAAAGCCAGCGGTCGGCCAATCTTCTTTCCGGACTGTCTGCCTGTGTGCTTTGCAAAAAAATTGCCAGGAGGGCAACCCGAGAAACTCTGCAATAAGCCACATGACGCATGAGCCGGCACTGCACTCTGGAGCCTGGAGCTTGCAACGAATCCAACCATAAATCAGGAAGTACAGGCCAAGCAAAGCAAGTGGAATGACCTGTGACCGCACAGCCCGCGCCTTGCTTATTATTCGAGATGCTGCCAGGATCGCGGCGAGATGCCAAAGCTGCGCTTGTGGATGCTGGGGAAGTGTTTGTCGAGGCGGCTGCGCGCTGGGGGCAACAAGACCAAACGTGTTCCACCTTTGGACAGTGCTGTCATGCCGAGCGCATGTTCTCGTCAAGCCAAGCTGAGGACAACGACTGACTGAGCTGCAGGCCCCGGCGCTGAACTTCTCGGACCCACCTAGTAGAGCGTCCGCAACGCCTTTACCTATACTAACCTGCACCCACCACGAACAAGCTCTCGCCGAATTGCAGCTGGAAAGACTGATTTTCTCTCAACATTGCAGCCGGGAGCCGTGGTAACTACTAAGTTTCGCCATGCAGCTCAGTTGCTTTCGTTTGTTTTGGCACAGCCATATCGTTGCTTCCGTTGTTCCGCCTTGGTGCGCCCCTGAAACTCTATCATGAGTCCACGCCATAACGCGGCGCACCGCACTCCTTCCACTCAGCCTGGAAGTGAGTTGCGATGCAGCTAAATCCATGAATGCGCGCTCGCGACCTCCGGATTCCTGCGCCTCGCACAGGCTAATGAGGAAGGACTTAGGACTTGTTATTGATGCCTATCTTGCTGCTCGCGAGCGAACGGCTTGGCGGGTGAGAATTGGGACGAGCCCTATTATTTCGTCTCAGCTGTCACTTCATGCATGTGTGCATTCCGCTGTCCCATGCACTCGCCGTTTCGCCAACAATTAACTATTGCAGAGAGCCTGCAGGCCTACAGGAAACACTCCCAAAATGCGGACTTGCTTGCCTTCTGATCCATTTAACTGACATGGGAGGCTCGCCCTGCACACCTGGCAGCGTCATGGTAGCATTAGGATTTTTCTGACATGCGAAACCTTGCCTGAAAGAGCAAACCGCCAACGACTGCAAGCGCCGTCGCTGCATGTTCCCAGAAGCGGTGAAACTTACGTGGTATGTGAAGTTGGATTCTTAGTCGGAGTGTTCCCCACAAGGCAAGTATACTATCGCCAACATTCCGAAGGAGACCTAGTTCCACTTACCAGAAAGGCTACTAGCTACACTTTTTGATATGTCTAATCAGAACCAGCCGGTCACGTCTGTGTGTTTGCGTCGGACTGCGCCCAGTGCAAGCATTCTGACCACACGTTGTTGCGGCATGTGTTGGGCTACGCCATTTGGAGCACCAAGCTGCGCAAAATCGTAACGCATCCTACTTCTAGCATAGTATACCTTTAGAGCTACGCCATGTGTCGCTCAAAGTGGCGACATGAAGTCAATGGGGAGTATCTGACAAACCTGCCGCTAAATTAACTGTCTGCCGAGAGCCGGCCTCTTGTTCCGAATAGTAGCAGTCTCTCTGCCACCCGTTTCATCGAACTTGCCGATCAATACAAAGGGATGGGGTGGCTCCTTGCTGACAGACTGACAGAACATTCGTTTTCGTGTCAAGCGTCGGGTTGATTCTAGACCTGGGGCAGAGGAAGCCGGACCGTTTTAGCCGAGCTTGTACCACCCAGGAGGCACAGCTACACGATACTTGCTACATATGCTTTCCACGAGCTCAGGCTCTCTGCCTCTGTACTTCTGCATGTACTCTGGAACCTCAGTGCGAGGTCAAACAGCTCCAGCAGAAGTGTCCAGGCAAGGTCTACCACGGTCAACAAGCCTTGCATGGTTTTTGCAATGCCGCGTCCCGATTTCCAGATTTCGATCCGGCTACAAGAAGCCAACGTGGTTCGAATCGACACCCGTCCATGGCCGGAAAGGCAACCGCGCAGTGCCCGACGTTCCGATCGGAAAGGACCCATGATTTTAGTACTTCAGAGATGGGAAGTGAAGCAAGCTTTTCGACGTGGCAGTGAAGTGTTATCCTACCAAAGGCCCTGCTTTGGATATATGCTCCATACCCCAGCAAGGTACGAGCGCAGAGTACAGGATCTGAAGGATGCAGGTAGGCCGAGATGGGTTGCTTGAGGTTTTTCCGGGGGTCATACAGCCTAGCCGCCAGCCAGAGCAGAAACCCGTGCAATGAGATCAGCCGCACTACAGGGCGATGCTCATGCTTCCTGAACAGCATTGCGGGGTGCTGGCTAGCTGCTACAGTATAAGCTTTGTTTCCAGTCCCAGACAACACAAGGGAATTCAATTCGCAAATGCAGCCATTTAGCCTTCGGCAGCAACCTTGGGTTGAAGCGCGAGTAGATGTTCGTCAGCCAGCGATGAAACTCTTCATTTGTGAGTGCTTGCGAATCCGCTGGCGCAGTCGGCAGGGAATGGTCGTGTTCCTGGAGAACAGCTGGGTGCAACCTGCCAAACCAAGCACGTCTCTAAGGCTCTAAGGACACAACAAGCATTCGCACGCAGCGATGCAATAACATGCAATAACCCTTGTGTTTTGTAGCTCCGTGCCTTCCGATCGGAAGAAGTCGACACATGCAGAGGCCACAAGCGACTTCACGATCGTGATTGTCAAGTTGACCGTCAAGTTCTTGTATCGGCTGGTCTTCAAGAGAGGTTCCTATCTCCTGCACTCCATCGGCCTTTCCAAGTTTTGGTAGTCGCAGTGCAGAAATCGGAGCATTATAGGCTGCCAGCAGCTCTTCAATAACCAGCTTTTCCTCCTCCCACTGCGCTCTCGTGTCCATCAAGCACTCGTTTCCTTGCACCGATCTGAGCCATCCTGAGCTTCCTGACTTTTTGCCATCGACCACACCTTACAGTCAGAGGCTCAAGGACTTTGAGGGGCCGTGAGCCGTGCATGGTCGTGTTTCAAGAGCCCTATGCTTTTATGCTTTCAGTCTCGCTCATGCTCACGGTCCAAGGCTTGCACGAACCATCAACCACAGCTTGCGCTCCGACTTCTCAGGATCGTCCGCCAGTTTGTTGATTTGCGCAAGTCGCACAAGCGAACCGCCTTATTGCACATGCATGTGCGGCGCACGCTTAAAACTCAATTCCGATTGACCGATTGCCTGATTTGCAGCTGCACAGCTGGGCAGGGTCAGGGCACTTGGAACTGTCTCCAAGAGCGTCTTCGTCTGGTTTTGGTGTCGTTCCAGCACAGGCTGCTCTAGCAGAGGCTGGGAATGCAAAGTGCGATACGACCCACCAACCTGCACAAAGCAGCAAAGCACACGGCACTTCAGAGCCCTTCCCACAACTCGTGGGGAAGAAATGATCTAATATTCTGCATGGCTGGTCGAGAAGAATTGGTCATACAGATCTCACCGTGAGCTGTAGTGTCTTTCTGCGATGAACTGGTAGCTATCAAACAGCGCCAGTCAGGGCTAGTGAGATGCTGCAAACTCCCCGCCTTCCACGGAACAGAGCCGGAAGCAATGCCTTCCATGGGACATGCCAGCCACAAAGTCTCGCGGGGAACTACGCGTGTGAATGCGCACCTTTCAAAGCCTGCTGCGCTGCGTCATTCCCAATCTTCGCCACATCCGGACCCAGCAAGTTGGTGGAATCAACTTTCGGACCTTGCACGTCCTCCAAGACCATCCAGCCAATGCAGTTGCCTCGCGAAACACTGTGCCACGAACTTCGTCAACCTATGCTGCATGCGTGCACCTTGGTTTCATTCAACATGCAAAGGAAGAACATACTGAGATCTGCGCCTTGAGTTTTGACTCTCGCATAGACTTGACATTGGCCGTCTTGAGCATGATGACTCAAGTCGAAGAGAAGCAACTCTTCGCCTGCAGGCACCTGTCGAGATTTCACGACCAGGGCTGTCGGGATTCGAACTAAGTGTCGCCCTTCGCCTCTCCGATCTCCTGGCGAAGGCACAGAACAGCAGAAGCAGCAAGGGCAATACTGCACACAGCGAAACCTCGCTCTTCGGCGAAGGTCTGTCGTGGAGCGAAGAAGATGCTCTCAGGCGGTATCTTCCTGGGATCTCTCTGGAGCTGGGCAGCTGCGTTAGGGCCGTCCGCTCGATTTCTGAAGCCTCAGTGCTCAAACACGAGCTTCTGCATCCGACAAAGCAGCATGTGAGGTGAGCGCAGGGCAGCTGGGTAGCTGCAAGATGGGAGGGCCTTCTGGCATTCTGGAGTTTCTAGAATATGCTATAAGGGGGAAAAAACCGATGGCAATCGCATCTGCCCAAGGTCGACAGCAAGCACCGATCCGCTGAGGCTCGCACATTCAACTGCAGATACCCCACGGCGATTTCGCCACCAACTTGATCAGGCAGGACCTGGTAGAAGCCTTGAGCAATCGAGCACATCTTTGCGGACAGGCTGGCTTTCACAGGAAAAGCAAACGGCGAAGGACTCAAGGGACGGAAGCACAAAGACAACAGGCCTCCTCCGGCATCGCTCATGACACGAAAAGTCACCTGGTCACGGCGTTTGTAAGACAACGCACCGGATGTACTCGGACATTTCACGCTTCGCGCTGCGGGCTACCAGGACCCCTGCCTAAAGATCCAGCAGCACGATTCAAACAACGTGTTGGTTCTGCTATCTCAATACTACGGCTTCAGATGCAGTCTGGACTTGCAGGCCGCAGGCTCCGGTGCACTGACATGCTTTTCCAAGGGCACTCTTGCAGGCACAGTCTGCCCAACCCTTCGTCCACTAATCCCTTCACTCTCAGCTTGTGAGCTGCATTAGCCAAGACTCATCTGATGTGAGTGTCGACAGTTTTTCTGAAGAGCTGCTCGGAGATTTCAAGATCGGCGCAGTTTTGCCTTTGCCAATTGAGTAGCTGCCACCGGAGAAAGGGGTCGGAGACCTGCAGCGGTTAGGCCAGGACGTTCAAAGACTGGAGGGGCTATGACCTTACCTTAGGACTCTGTCCCACGCACCCGCGGCTTTGCTGTTATCAGCTGTTGACACAACACTCGCACCTTCATCACAAGAACTTGATTTCTTGGCAGGGCTTTTCACACACTCGTGCTTCAGGGATTTGCCACCCATAGTCTTTCTTTCGACGCTCTTCTCTCGCGAGTTGAAGATTGACCCGTTTGTCCAAGCTCTCTAGCAGACAAGACTTTTTGAACGCCTTTGACACGCACTCCGTACTTAGGGCAAACGAGCAGCCTCTGCTTTGTGGGGGTGGCAGGCTTCTTGGAAGCGCAGCAGCCCATGTCGCTGCTCAAGCGCCATCGGCGACAAAGCAGTCTTACGCACCAAAGCCTTCAGCAATTCCCTTGTCGATTTGTTCTTCCAGCAGGCTGAGGTGTTGTTGCTGGACACATGTCTGTATGCGTGTTGTGCCTGATGTGCTACCTCGCGGACCGTTCCTGGAAAGCTTTTGAAAGCAGTCCCACCCGTGAGTCTGTCAGAGCTACCAGGTACCGTATGCCAAGACAAGACTACTAGTACCGTGTGTGTCGCCAAGTCGTGGCCCTTTCGGATGCTCTGGCAAGAACCGTGCCTTACTCAGTCGGCAAGCCGAGGCCCAGTGTCAGCCTGCTGCGCTGCTGTGGCCTTTCAAACTCCAGCATTGATGTGCTCTGTGCTCCTTCTTGCGCAGTGAGATATTGCTTCGCCAGCGTGGGCACCGCCGTCGGGAGCTCAAGTTTGTGCAGGCCACACAAGGTCCATCGGGCTATTGATCATGCTCTGCCAGCTCTGAAGGCCCAGTGACCTGCAGGCCTACGAATCCTTAGAGGTGCCGATGTCCAAGAATTGCGTGCCCGTAGCGGATGGCCAGGCCATGACCGGACCGGTCGTCGAGAAGAGCCCAGTGTCTCATCCTTGCATGTGTGAGAGTTGTTGCAAGTGCTGACTCGAAGCAGCTATCCTGCCGGCAAAACCTGAAGCAGCTTTACCGGAGAAGAGGCGCCAGTACCCGACGTGGACATACGCGGAGACGGCTTGGATCACTGACCCCTTGCAGCGGGACCTTGTGTTTCGCCAGGACCTGCTCGGACCTCTGCCTGTGTCACCTGTTTCAAGGCGCATCATCATAGTCACTGAGGACAATGACAAGCGATGAGGCCTCAAACGCACGCACCTGCAGGGCCGCAAGCCTTGGATGTCTGCTCTACTCTTGCCGCAGAGATTCAAAAGATCTGAGACACACACCGCAAGGGCAGAGCGTGGTCAAGCGGAACGACCTTGCAGTAGAAATCCAACAGGGAGGTCAAGAAGAAACTGGAAACAAGGATAAACAAGGCAAGCCATGACGGATGGCAGCCTCCCAGGACGGGTGGTCGCTCTCAGCCGGGCCCGAGCCCGGTCCCCCGACCTAGCTCGAAAGGGACGGGCAAAGCTGAACACGAAACACGAAAATCCACGAAAACTCTGAGTCTGAAACTGCTTTGATTTGCCACCGCCCACCGACGGCACCTGCAGTGGAGACCACAGTCCCCTGCGACTCCAGAAGTCCGGGTCTCGCACCTCCAGGCCACGCCTGGAAACAGTGAGAGTCATGTTTCGCACCCTGTCAGGCATATTGCGACATTCTGCGATCTAAGAACGGCACCTGCGGCAAAGCCAAGGCTGCTCGCAAAGTGAAGGTGATGTTTTGCGCTTCAGTGCTGGGATTTCGCCAGAATAGGAGCCCGCTGCAAGGCGGGCAGTCGAAGGCTCCATAACCATAGGCCTGTCTTGTGGCTGGAGATAAAGAAAGAGACTGTCGATGAGGTGCGCCAGCTTTGCAGGAGCAGAGATTGGACGAAAGGCTCACACCCGGTGTCAAAAGCAAGATCTGAAGGATGTTGATGATGAAATGATTGGACTTGTGCGTTCCAAAGTTCTGGCGCAGCAAGTTGTTCTTTCATATCGTGCTCTCTTTTGCAAGCTGCTGATGATGGTTCAACATCAGTCCAGCATCGATGCTTGCTTCATCGAAAAGCCCTTTTCGTTTGAAGGTCTGTGTCAAACGGTTCGACTGCTTGAACCCGAACGACTCGCAATGCTGTTTCTTTGCAAACACCATGCGGAAGGGTCTCCAATCACTTCTCCGTCCGTGTACTGCTTGATTCGGGCCAAACGCAGCCCAGACAACCAGCACCGCGACAGCACGCAAACCCGGGACAAATGGACCATCTGAACAGCCACACTGGACACCTCGCACACAGGCATCTCCCTTTACGTTTACAGCAAGCATCTCCGATTAGAACCTATTAGGTAGACAATGAAGCAACATCTGTCAGGGTTTGGGCTTCTGATGCCGTGCTTTGCTGACCCCGGACACTTCGCGGCCGCCATGGAAAACCCAGACGGCCCCGGACACGCGGACAAAGACATTTCCTTTTTGGGCCTCAGGGTTCGCATCTTCTTTTAGGGTATCGGCTTTGCCCAGCTGACCTTGGGCTTTTGGCGACTGGCAGCGTTCTTGTCAGGGCTTGTAAAGTTTGCCATCAAACGCTCCCTTTGGGGTTCCAGCAGCATCCACTGTCAGGGCTCAATGTTCAATTTTTAGTTCAGCATGGTACTCTACAACGTCTAGCCTTTGCAGGCAGGGTCGGCAGCAGGGAGAGGAGGCTGGATGGTTGCTCAGCGAGCATCTCCGTTGAGAGTTCACGTCCAAACATCTGTGCGATGCTCACCCGTGTGAGGGGCAAATCCCGAACAGTGCGGTGACAGGGGTGTTCGGGCAGAACCAAGGTCAGGCAGGGCGCACAGGTGACGGAATCGGGAAAAGTGCACATGGGTTCTGTTTTCAATCTCTGTTACAGGCGTTGAGCTCCCACCTCTGACAACATATATCTCAGCAGATTTTGTCCGCACACGTCAACAGCCACTCTGACGAACACAGCGAGCTGCGGAAGGAGCTGCCGTGATGGGCATGTCGTTCTGTTGTAGATAGCTTCTCAGCAGAACTTGCTGAAGTGATTTTCGGGACTGCGCTGTTGTGTGCGTAGCTCTCGCACGTGAGCGAGACTTTCGGACGCAAAGTCTGGATACTTAGTCATCGTGATCAAGAGACATCACCTCGACAACAACACTCTAAACCAAAGGAGGACTGTCGCATGGCATGCCGAAGCTCTGACGCTTCGCACCCGCCGCGTGCAATTGAACATCGGGGCAAATGCTAAAGCACATAGCATGACTTGTGAAGACCATCTTGGCCGGCAGAACCCTCCGCCCTCAAGAGAATCCTGGCCTCCCCCCGTGCTGGGTCACCACCAAGCCAATGGGAATCATGTAAAACTGCCGCATGCTTGTGCGACAAGTTAAAATGCAAGGCAAGTGTATCCCAGGACTCTGGAGCCAGTAAGGATGGCTGAATTTGGAGCTCCTGGTACATGGTGAATACCATGCCCTGCACTTCTTGAGAAAAATCCTCCAAGTCGAAGGAGTTCAAATATGCCCCGGGCTCCTCCGCTCGGCTCCAGACTAAGCCGCCCAGCGACAAACTTGAGAGAGGAAATAACCGCGCCTTTCTCAAGACTTCGAAGACCATCGAATCTCGAAAAGTCATCCACTGCTGCCGAATTGAGCCAGTTCCTTTGCGACCTAGATCAGGGCCACCTCTCCACACAGAATCGACAGAACAAAGCCACCAAGGTGAGGGCCAACTTCCTGTCACTGCCGATACACGAACCGGAACCTCCTTCTCTTTCTTCTGAGCTCTCAATTCCTGTATCAAGAACAGCAGATTGTCAAGATCTTTGGAGTATTCGGCTGAACCGCTGGTTTTCATGCCGCTACCAATTCCATCGAACTTGAAAAAGGACACTCCGCTGTGCAGAAGTCGAAGTGTTGCATTGTAGAACCAGTCGAAATAGCGGGGGCCGGAAAACCGAAGTAGATTGGGGGAATCGCCTTGATATTCGAAGCCCATCGAGGCACCAATCTTCACACGGCGCTTTCCAGCTTCCCCGAACCCACCCCAAGGAGACATCCAAACACCCAGCGACATCCTTTTGTCGCTTGCAGCTTTGGCAAGCGAGCTGAGTCCTTCGGGAAAGTTGTCGCGATTCACGTGCCAAGGAACGCCTGCATCATCCCAGCCGTCATCCAAAACTGCACCTTTCAATGTAAGACCCCGCTGTGACAGTTGTTCGGCAATCTCCTCCATGCGCTGAAGCACATGCTGCTCGTTGAGGACTTTCGCCGCTGAGCAGTGGGGGAGCCCCAAAGGACTGGAGTCCACACACGGATGTCTCCGAAGATCGTACCATGTAGTAAAATGCAGAAAAGGTTTGGGTGGAGAGGCTCGGACTTGCTGCAGGTAAGCCTGAAAGTGCCTCCTAAGTAAGAAGACCGACTCTTCCGCCGTTGCACCGATCGGACCGGTGATGCCAGCAGATGCAAAGTAAGGCGTCCCTGGGGATGCATCGCGTAGTTCTGCAACCACCCGCGTGCCGTTGCTTCTCAGCCCATGGACGGCCTCGGATCGTTTAGGGCAGCTCTCAGGCGTCTTCCAATGGAGTTGCCGAAATGACGGAGGAATTCAGGACTCAGGGACATTAAGCTTGCAGAGAACAAGGTGTAATGCAACGAGAATCGCTTCTGTTCCACGGTTGACATGCCTTTACCTTTGGAAAATTCAACAAGTTCGTGGGCGTTTGACAGCTCCGGAAGCATGTTCGTCTCATGTACAACAGATTCAAAGCACAAACGCACACAATCGCTACATCACGATACAACCATTGGGCCAGGCTTTTCCGCATCCACTTCTGGTCCACTCTGCAGACTGAGACAGTTTTACGTCAGACTTAGCCATCCTCGCTTGCCAACGTGGGTCGAGATTTCATGGCGATTCTGGTACCTTGTCCGCCACATTGCATGGGACCTAAAGCTACAAGCTGATGGGAATGTAGCGCCGCGCAGTCAAATATGATGATAAGTTCAGTCTTCTCCTCATGCTCTGCATATTGTGGGTGGCATGGCGGTTAAAATCTCGCAGCATTTCCCCATCATTGTGCTGTTCTGCTGTGCATTCATGTGATTTGAGAGCACTGTACATGTTGCTCTTTCGCATCTGTATGCGTCTGTACTGGTTACTGGTGTGTTGCGAGTCTGCTTTCTGTTGTCCCGGTACATTGGAGCGCGTGCACGATATCATTCATTGCTGCACTCAGTGCTTCCAAGTCGCTCGTGGGTGCTCGAGCGCAACCCAAATGCCACGCCCGATGTGTATCAGAGGGCTGCCATCCACCTCACCACTGGCACCGAAGCAATCGTTGTGGTCGAACGACTGAGCTTGTTTGCTGCCACATACAGCCATCAGTGCACTGTCAAAGTCCCACAACGTCAAGCTCATCACGCTCAACTCTGGGTTGCTCTCATACCAAAACCGAACGCGAAGGACCTCCGCCCCGGCCGCCATGCGCAACAAGGCGGCAGTCCAATGAACATGTATTCCAAGCGGACACTGCAATTCGATAGCCTCGCCTGCAAGAAGCAAGAAGCCGTCCTCTTGCGATCGCTGCAAGCGGGTGCGCCGGAGAAGTGAACAGTCTTTGGCGAGAACCTTGTCTCCATTCGTCAGAAGCAACTCGAAAAAGCTTTGCCAGCCCAGGTTTGATCCGCGCTCTTCAAAGATCCTCGGCACAAGACCAGTTGCCTGAGAAGGGGTGCGCTGGTCGCCAACCAAACTTTGGTACGTCCAGCCCCATGACACGTGCAAATAATCACCTCCTGTGTCAAAGGTGTCTGCGTAATTATATGGCTCGATTGCCTGACTTTGGCTCATTCGTGGCATTATCTCTGCCATCAGTGCTTTAGTCCGGGTAGCAGACCTAGCAAAAGCGAGTTGCGCTGAAGTCTGCAAGTCCGATACTGGAAGCAGCCCTTCCTTCTTCTGTGACTCCACATAGTTTGGCTTTGAAGCGCTGCTCGGTGTTTCGGGTGTCTCATGCGACTTTCCACTTCCGGTCCAGAGCTGCCAAACCAGCAGGACAATCGTTCCGTAGACGGATGCGATGGAGAACACTGGCTTGTAGAGTGACCGTGATGGATGTGCTTGCGATGGCTCTTCTCGAGGTTTGCGCCTGGGAGTGATGCTCTTGGCAGAGTCCTCTCCTCTGCGACCAGCCCAGCCGGTGCTTCTCTTCTCTACCATAATCTACCATGAGTGGAAGAGCGTGAAGGCCCAGCAGCCCGCTCACCTATGCTACACTCACTACACCCTGCAGGCCGGCAGCACACAGATGCACAAAGCATTATCACAGAGGTCCTGGGGCTGGCTCCGCTGCTTTTCTCTCTTCGCCGCATTAGTTGGGCAGCCTCTGAGGCTGGAGCCTCAACTCACCGTTCGAGTCTCTTAGAGCTTGGCTAGATGCTGGCATATGCAGCGACAGCTGAAATGCTCGTGGCTTTGCCACGAGAAGACATTAGGGGACGGGGCAGGCGGGAGAGCCCGACGAGTCGGATCCTCTCTCGCCCATTACGAGTAGCAACTGATGCTTGGAAAACAGCGGCCAGGTCAGCCAAGACTCGGTGTCCTGAGCATGGCAGCACGGCTCTCAAAAACACTTCGAGTCCTGCAGGCTGGCTTTTGTTTCGTGGTAAGTGTAGGCAATCGACAGGATCGCATGTTTTCTGCTGACTTATTCCGGTTCGTGTGGAGCAGCCTTGCCCTGCAGCAGCTCAGATGACTCCATGCATCAAAATCGTCACTCTGCAATCCGAGCACTGCAAATTTCCGGAAGTCTCTAGGCGGCCGAGACGGCGTGGAGCCTGGTTCTGCAAGCAGCCCACGGGCCCCTCTGACAGACTGACCCACCACGTGTTAACCTTAAGCCCGAAGCCCGAAGTGCCCAAAGCCAAGCTCTTGAACAAAAACTCACCTTCTTAAAACTATGGCCCATGAGACAAACCCACTGCCGATTGTTGTTGATTGATCATGTGTCCTTGCTTGTTTGTTGACCGCGGCTCACCACACCACTGCACGAGTCAGCGTTACAGCTTCACCGGCGCACGCACCCACCAACTAAAAAAACTGCAGTCACCCTCGAGCATCATGTTCACACCGTGCATGATGTTAGGACATGCGCAGAAAACACGTCCGTCCATTCTGTTCGTGCAGGTTCATGGTTAATCGCAGCTAGGTCTCACATACGGGAAAGAATGGCCAGCAGCATCTGCTTCCTTCGCTGATGACCCTTCCAAGCCTGCACGTGTCAATGAGACCGTTGCTCATGACTCGATTGCAGCGCAATCAAGGCACAGTTCCCAGGTTTACAACTGCTTTTGCAGATGGTTGCAGTATGCTGTTGGAGAGGAGCACCTTCAACCGCCTGCGACTGCGTCACAGGCGACTCGTTCAAAATCTCTTTCGAGACTTCGCCTGCCAGGGCCAAAAAGGGCTCAAACAAAGCGGGGCTTTCGAGACGCAATCGATCTTCGCCATCCCCACGTAAAGCTTCGGTTCGACTCCTTTTCGACTGTACCACCATGCTAGACATGCTTTTTGACGACACATGCTTCAAGATTTTTCAAGCCAGAGGAACAGCACGAGCAGCAAGTGCTGTCCAGCGCAGTTTCATAAGGACATACTGTTCGCAGATACCGAATACTATACTTTGGCACTGGTGCCCGCTGCTGGTCTTTGCTTGGATTGGCACCTACATCTCTACGAAGTTCCCATCAGCACATCTTACGCAAACGTCGCTGGACCAACCGCAGCAACATAAACAGTAGAAGAAGCAACAGCAGCAGCGCAACAACTGCTGCTGGTGTTGCTACTTTGCTGCTCCACTTTGTACGGTAACTGCGCGTATTGCGGTTCTGCTACGATCATTGTAATATTGCGGTTCTGCTACGATCATTGTAACTGCCACTGTTAGCGTCAATGCTACTGCTACGTAGCGATAATGCCACAGCTGCTGCTGCTACTACCACAATAACTACGCAAGAACTTCTGCTGCTTCTACTACCACTGCTCACTACTTCTACTCCTCCTCTTGCTCCTACTCCTGCTCCTCCTACTGCTCCTCGTACTGCTCCTCGTACTGCTCCTCCTACTGCCACTGCTGCTGCGACTGCTGCTGCTGCTACTGCTCCACTGCTGCTACTGCTACTACTGCTGCCACGACTACTACTACTACTCCTCCTGCTGCTGCTGATGTTGCTACTGCTACTGCTGCTACTACTACTACTACTACTACTACTACTACTAGTACTACTACCACTACTACTACTACTACTACTACTACTACTACTACTACTACTACTACTACTAGGAGTACTACTACTACTACTACTAGGAGTACTACTACTACAACAACTACTACTACTACTACTACTGCTACTGCTACTGCTACTGCTACTAGCACTACTACTAGCACTACTACTAGCACTACTACTAGCACTACTACTACTACTACTACTACTACTACTACTACTACTACTACTACTACTACTACTACTACTACTACTACTGGTACTACTAGTACTACTAGTGTACTACTACTAGTGTACTACTAGTGTACTACTACTACTACTACTACTACTACTACTACTACTACTACCACCACTACTACTACTCCTGCTGCAGAGAGGCTGTCTGTAGAAGGACTGCAGTATGGGAACGAGCGGTTATTCTGTCAGAAACAGGTCCATGGCCTTCGGGCGCAGCAGTGAAGTCATTGCTCTGCTGCCGCGCTTGAAAAAAGCCTCAGCTCACTTAATGGGTTGAGAGTACAGAACTTGACCTGAGTGATACAACAAAAAGTGCCACAATGGCAGAAGGATCTGAAAGGTTAATCTCTGTTCGTGACCAAGCATCCTCGAAGTGTGTCAGATGCTGACCACATCATACCAGGCCATGCGAAAAATAGCTTCGTGTTGGCATACATCGACAAGGTGTCTGCCAGAATATATCCTGCCACCGGCCGAGCGCGAGCTGCAACTCTACACTGTAAGCCATCACTTGAAGCCTAATTGCCGGCGTTTGCCTGCGCTCTCACCCTACTGTGTAAACTCAGGCTAGCATGTCTTTGCTCATTTCCTGATTCTCTCCCTTGATAAATGTCTGATATGCGTGGCTTTCCATGCATCTTTATGAAAGCATGAGCTTTGGCGAGTCCTGCGGGTATAGCCACAATCCACGCGGTGTACTTCGAAAACCCGTACTTGATGCGGATGTCGATGCCCAAGGCCCCGATAAATAAACCTCTGCTAACGAAGGGGAGCTGAGGAGCAGCCGGAGAATCGTGCCTTCGCAAAACGCACTCCAGAGTCTAGAGCACGAGGCACATCGGAGTGTAGCTGCTTCTGCAACTGCATCTCCGGAATGTAGAGTCGCCACCAGAACGGGGAACATAATAAAGAGCCTGCCAGATGTGACTCGCGCACTAGTCACTCACTCAGACTCTTCTATGATTTTGCTCCGAGATGTGACGGGGAGAACACCCAGCAAGCAGCAGTTCTGAACCTTTCTGATACACCGGATCTAATTGCGGTCCAACCGGCGATGCTGCGTACAGAATGTGGTATGTTCTCGCCTGCCAAACAGGTACCCTCCACCAATGGAAAGGACAGGGCTTCACAGCCAAACGACTGTCGCTGTAGCAATGAAGCACCTCGCCTCAATGATGCCCTTGCGCACGAGCGTCATGAGGAAGGAGGCAATCTCAATTGCAAAAATCGCGCAGAATGATGAGGAGGGAGTCCCGAAAGCCTCGTTTCGTGCGGCAAGCTTAACAGAGTGTCTAAAGATCGCCTTAGATAGCTGATTTGTCAATCAGATCTCTGTTGTTTTCCCAATTTCTGCCTGTCTCATTCTGTCTCCCTCTCTGTCTCACGTTGTCTCTGTCTCTCTCTCTCTCTCCCCCTCTCTTGCTTGCTTTCATGGGGTTTGTTTTCCCCTGGCCTGTAGGCCTAACCCGTCCAAGGTCTGCGTCAGTTCGCAGAGTGGCCCCTATTCGGGACGGTGTCCCTCTCGCGCTCCTGCTCGCACTCTCTTGACTCTTGTAGTCATGCTGCACGTGACCTAGGCCTAGGCTATTTCTGTTATATCCATTGCACACCCTCCGACGAAATACTACAAGAGGCACAGATTCGCTGATTGACAGCTGGACAGGACCAAGCAGCAACCGACCCACAAGATAGCTTTGGCCTTTCTACCGACACAATGCTCAACCTCTGTGGGGCTTGTGAAGACTGATTCCTGTGGACAGCATGGCAACTGCAAGCTCAAGTTCTCGGTGGCCCGAGAAACAGCGAGTGCAGTTGCTGCAAACTGCGACTTGGCATAGAATCTTTTGGCAACCTGCCAGTCTGATGATCCAGGCAAGACAAGAACGCAATCCACGAAATGTGAGAACAAGACGCAGCAAACACCCAAAGTCCCCCACCTTCTCAAGTGTCTCAGGTGTCTTTTTGGGGTATGGCCTCACGCAAGCGTGCAGCCACCAGAATCGGGACCAAAGCAATGTAGCATCTAAGCCAAATGCATCGCGTTGGTGGTGCGATCGTCCTCGTAGTGGGCAGCATGACACAGCTGGTGAGCTGCACGACCCGAATAAATGCCGCTGTGGATTTGAGAGGCGGTCTGTGCTGCCAATCTGTTCCGTCGTGATGTCGGCTGCTTTGCAGGTAGCTAGCACTAGGCACACCTGCGAACACAACGGCAACATTTCATGAGTCCGCAGCGTCACGGGGCTGGCTTGGGCAATTTTGTCAAGGAGAACCAAACACACCCCGATGCCTTAGCAGCCACGGCGGCAACGCCTGGCTGCCGCAGCCACCAGTCCGGGGCCCAAATGCCGAGGGCAGTGCCGACCTTAGCCGCAGACGTGCAACCTCGTAAAGACCATGCTTAAAAGCTCGTACCGAAACTAAGCACGCAGCCAGATGACGCATGGCAAAAAGTGCGTTGTGCACGCGAAACTCCCTCGTCATGCGGCAACAACACCGGTCAGAAAGTGCGGCTCACGTGGTGGTGGGTTATATTGAAGCTTAAATACTAATGCCTCCAGATCATAGGCTTCGTCCAGATTCTGTTCCTGACTTGCAATGCACAGACGCAGAAATGCAAACATCATCTGCTTTTCTTTGCCGCGGCGCCGCGGCAATTCGAACTGGAAGCTGAGAGCCTTTCTGCAGCTGCAAACTAGT